GCTCCACGTAGATGTCTCGTGACCAGCGAATGGTATCCGAGACGATGAGACGACGCATCATTGAGGCGTATTGGGCCGTGACCCTCAGCAGTCTCAACACCGCCTCATTTCTCGGATCTCATGAGCCGACGACGAAGGCCGTCACGACGACACGATACCCTTGTCGTTGTAACTCTTCGGTCAGGGCGTTGTATTTTTCTAGTTTCCTCGCCCTGGCCTCTTCAAACGCCATCCACCTATTCTCAAAGGGTACCGTGACGTCGCATATGACGACACTTTTGGAGGGCTCGTGCCTGACCACAAGGTCAGGTCGTAGCGCCGCCAAATCGCCGCTGACGCCCTCCACCCGCTGGTTAACCCGCACTACTCCTGGAAGGCGAGTGGTCTTCCAAAGGCGGTGCAGGATAGCGTTGTGCCTCAGCTGTATTGCGGCGGAATGGATACCGCAGTGACAGAGCACATGTGGTAAGGTCTCCGATGGTTTACCTGTTGTCATATAGGTAATACCAAAGCATAGAGAATGGAGTGTGCGATCCGTGTGTGAAAATGATCGATAGGGATGAGAGAGAGGGACCGTGGCAGACGGCCATTTCTATCTCTTTCCATTCAATAGTGTAATGGGAGAGAGAATGAGAGGGAGATTGGCCGTCTCCCACGGTCCCTCTCTCTCATTATTGTCAACCACATTTGATACATTACTTAGATACTCTTACGTCTCGAGGGGGCACCGGCCGGCTTCCGGTATCGGCGCTATCCTGAGGCTATGGTGGGATGTTTAATTCGCGTTTTGAGCGATAAAATTTCCGCGATGAGATTTGTCCAGCCCACTGATTGGCTACAGCCGGGCGCTAGATATCGCGACTATGGTTGGTTCTGTTTCGATCCACGGGCTTTCTCCCGTCTCTTCTAGATAAGCGATGAATCTAATTAATATTTCAGGGCAATCAGGACAGCTCGCGACAGTATGCACCGTGACAGTCAGTACCGAACATACGCTGCAAGACTCAAATCTTTCGACGGCTCCCAAATGAATATAATGCCGTAAGGGCCTGAGCACAATAGAGGAACAGGAATTAGATATTAAGATTTTAACCTATCAGAAACTGATTACAACGGAATACACGGTTTCTGATAGGTTGAAATCTTAATATCTAATTCTTGTTCCTCTATTGTGCGCAGGCCCTATGACTCCCTGATAGTTTCCCTTTTCATGCGCTGGCGCGGAAGTATAACATTCGGGACATTTAATAGTGCTGTCTTCTTTGTGTTGGAAAAATAATGCGGAGACGCAATATGCACTATTCAACCACGTAGAGTATGGTCCAATCGCGAGTATTTGGGCGTCTATCGAGGCGCGCGCTCGCGGGTGTAAAGGGCACATGCTATGCGCGGTTCACGGTTGACGGATTCGATTGGCGGAAGGTAAGGCAATTTACCTACCTGGTGACCTCTTCCATCAAGTGTCCGCAGGTTCTCTCCGTGCGATTCCAAAGCCCAGTGGTTGGAGGAGAAAGTTTCTCTTCTTAGTCCAGTGCCCTGGCGGCCCGTCGGTTTAGATCGACCCTCCGTTAATGTCGATAATATTAAATGTAAACGGAAGGGTGAGGTTGCCAGGAATCACACACTCAAGCAATTGTTCAAATATAGGGATATATTTTATATTACTGATTACAACAACTAGTGGGTACAGTTAATTCCGCACTTGGATGAACTTATCTTGGATTTTATAGTTAGAGTTAGAATTACGATTGGAGTTAGAATTAGAGTTAGAATTACGATTGGAGTTAGAATAAGACTTACGATTAGAGTTAGAGTTAGAATTACAATTTTGGTTAAAACTAGAGTTACAATTAGAGTTAGAATTGTGTTTCGCGCGAAGCGTTTGGGAACGGCACGGTGATTGGTCGGGCGAGATCGCGGAGACGGGCTTGGCGTGTTCGTTCTGTGTCGCGTGCGGGTACATTGCGGATGCGCATCATTGCTCCATGATTTTACCATGGCTATAACCTATATTACTCTCACGTTTGTGACGTGGTGAGGAAGGAAATAATAAAAACAACGTACTTTTATAGTCTGCGATATGTATTATTAGTCGTACAACATGTGTGCACAGATTAGATCAACATGCGAGAGCGACGACCCTCACAGTCGTGCCAACTTATCGTACAGCGCCACCACATCGGCGCGGACTATGTAAACCATGACATCCCCTTTTTTTTATAAAATTAACAAAACAGAAGAATCCTGTCACAGTCGTGCCAACTTATCGTACAGCGCCACCACATCGGCGCGGACTATGTAAACCATGACAATTACCACCTAACCTAAGATTTGTTAAGTATTGAGGATCGAGAATTAACTATTTTTTTATCGTTTATTATTGTCATTGCTTTTTTTGTCATTGGTGTCTTCATCGTCGTCAAAATAAATCACGATTTTGAAATGGATAAATTAATATATAATCTTATTGAAGATAGTGAAGAAAGTAGTGAGAGCGAAATGGAAAATTTTCTTTTTTCTGATTCGAGTGATGATCAAGACGATTTGATATTAAATATAAGCACAATTATTCAGGAAGATAGGTCCGATTTAAACAAAATTCCTAAAGTTAAAAACTACGTAGAAAATGTAGTTAATCGTCTAAATGCTGAAGATTTTAAATGCCACTTTCGGTATGCAATATGAAAAAATAATATATTATAAATACAAATATTATATTAAACTACATAATATTTGTAATTGTATTTTGTAAATAAAAGAAAAAAATAATAAAATTGTATTCATAGGTTACATCCAGGATCATTTGAGAGAATTCTATTATTAATTGGTCCAGTATTGGAAAAAAGAAATAACGAATTTAGAAATCATGCAATTCCTGCAAAAAACCAGCTATTAATGTCATTATGGTTCATGGCAACACCTGAAAGTTTTCGATATGATTTTATAATTGTTTACATTTCTCTCTATTAATTGTTTGATATATTGATTTTGATTTTCAGGTCGGTGAGTGATAGGTTCGGAGTTGGCAAAGCAACTTGCTTTCGAGCATTGAGGAAAGTCATATCTGCTCTTTTCGAAATTGCACATCAATTCATTCAATGGCCTACTGGACAAAAAGCTGTTGAAGTAATGGACGAATTTTATAAAATAAGTGGATTACGTGGCGTTATTGGTGCTATAGATGGAACACTCATAGAAATAAATAAGCCCATTGAAAATGGTGATGATTATGTATGTCGTAAGGGTAAGGGATACCCTGCTATTCACTGTCAGGTAAATAAAAAGTTTTACACAATACACACATCCACATCCACCATAAAATACAATTTTATTTGACACAATATTATTTTTAACATCTATATTATTTTTAACAAATTTTTTTAGGCAGTTTGTACTTCCAAATTATTATTTACAAGTGTATTAGTAGGTCATGCAGGGAGTGTACATAATGCACGAGTATTACGTAATTCGCAAGTAAATAAATATATGGGACAACCAGATGTCTATTTCCGTGATGAGAGTTACATTAGAGGAGATGCTGCGTATCCTATCTATTTAAATTTAATGGTACCGTTTAAAAATAATGGTCACCTTATCCAGGAAGAAATTAACTTCAATTACTGCTTATCATTAGCTCACATAGTAATTGAAAGAGCATTTGAGATTTTAAAAACAAGATGGAGGAGAATATTTGATAGATTGTCGCTTGTAGATTTAGAAAAAATTCCTGAATATATAGTTGCTATATGCGTCCTGCATAATATTTGTATATTAAATAATGATTTAATGGATCATAATTTCGAAAATAATATTGAAAATCAATGTCGTGATGCATTAGAATGCGTTACAAAATGGAAATATTGATGCAGCTAAAGCAAAACGTAATATGATAATGAACAATTTGCAAATGCGATTTTAGTTCCTTGTGCTTGAATTTATGCTATTTACCAAATATTAATAGAAATTTTTTATCGTCTAATAGTTTTTTTTAATCTCTAGTTAAAAGATAATTGTTTGGAAAGATCCTTGTATATTTTGTAATATTAAAGGAGAATGTGAAATTAGATTATTAAGTTAGAAACATCTGGCAATATGAAAAGAAACTTTATTGAAACATAAACATCATTGTTTTACTTTTCTACACTCTTTTTCCTAGATGCATTGACTTTTTTTATTCTAACAATTTTTGGTAAAAAATTTAAATACTTTAAGTGGGCAAGATAGGTTAGCAACTTGAAAAAAACATTTTTTTTGATAATTTTTTATATGAAAGTACAACATCTCAGGAATATCCTGTGAAAGTTTTAAGTCGATCGGACTAAAACTCGCTGAGATATACCGGTTATTTCGTAATAGTGTTCGAAATCGTAGAAAGCGCTCGAGGCAGGTACCTATACGGCGGCAGCTGTTTGTACAGCTCGTAGACAAGAAAAAAAAGATTCTTTGGACTCTACAACTGCTTCAGAGGATGCCCACTATGGTCCTGGAATAGATGATTCGATGTAAGTTGCAAAAACAAATCATTATTATACTTTTATTTGCTCTTAAAACTTACGCGTTTTTCTTAAAACTACTTTTTTGAAGTCGGTGCGTAACATAACTCAAAAAGTAATGCACCGATCTTAATGAAATTTTGCAGGCATCTTTTATATGATAAATACTTGCTCTTAAACGATCGTTTTTATTTAAAAAAAAATTTTTACTATTTTTTACGGGCAATAATAGGTTGATTTTTTGCGTGAAAATCGTACCTCTACATTCAAAACCGCGCCAAAAATCGAAAATCGCATATTTTTCAAAATGGAATCGTTCAAAAGCACGAGAAACTAATATATTAAATAAATCGCTTTGGTTTTTTGATTTTAGATAACCCTGTGAGGCCAGACGTTACGCCGTCTCTTTTTTTCAACGCCGACGAACTACCGCCACCACGAGATAAATATTGAATATTTCTTCATACAAAAATTCAGAAATACACTTTAAAAATAACTCTTTTACATGTAAAAACTTACAACTAATTATATTTATTCAGAACCGAGAAAAAAAATCTCAAAAATCTGCTTTTTTCGGCCTCGTTACCTATCTTGCCCCCTTAAGTATAATAGAACAGCATTTATTAATTTAATATCACTATTATACATTTACACTTACATATGTAGTATAAATTAAGTATGAATCTCTGTAGTATGCTGTAGTCTTTAATAAACTTAAATTCAAAACTTATATTTTAAAGTATACTGAGTTTTTCTATGTAACATTGTGACGTGACATTTTGTCCGTCACTGTGCGGACTTGTCGACGGCGGACTCGTGCTTCCTACCGGCTCAAAGGGCGAGCGCGCACGCGAGCGCGCGTGCAAACGCACCTGCGAACGTGCGTTAAAATTCGCGTCATTTAGTTTACTTGGCAGATCTTATTCTTTTATACTAGCGTTTCTTTTGCGTAATGGCCAAGCGTATCAGGGAGCGTAGGTGCGCCACGGATCACGCTCGGCAGCTGCGGTGAAATGTCATTGTATCATCGTGCCGTCTCGCCCGCCACCCTTGGAAGGAAGACACAAGAAGGACCGGATCGTAAGGACGGCCGCAGAGCAGAGAGAAGGGCACACATCTGGGAGCCCGGATTAGCAGGTTGTACCATTTTATATCATTGCTTGTAACTGCTGTCGAAAATAAGGGGAACCATACTTTCACCATGTACCCCTTGCAGAGCACCGGAGGATGCCAGAATTCCCGGCCACCCTGGAGGGGCCGGACGTACGCCGTCGGGAGCCTAGGATCCGACGAGGGGGAAGGAAATCCATCCCGATCTCCTACGCCAGGCCAGGAAGTGCAAGGGCCGTGAACAGGGACGCCACCCTTGACAGGAATCCTCATTGCGCGCTCGCATAAGCGAGGGTTCAAGGCCGCGCGGGCCTGCACGGCGCGAATGCCGTGACACGTGGAAGCCAATCAGCGTGACTACCTCCCCCCCACAGGAGGGGGGGAGCGCTAAGCAGCCTTCGAGAATCCGCC